ATTGGAGCGTCTGACCCTTCTATAATTTTAGGGGGTCTGATTGCTTTAGAGGCTAGGATGTCCCCATAAGTTTGGGGATACCTAGTGCTGTAAGTTGCATGGAGGGTCAGGACGCTTTATAAGTTTAGGTGACCTGTCTGCTCTGACTTGCGAAGGTTTGGCTGTGGTTGATTTTCAGGGGCTCAGGGCATTGAATAAGTCTTGGTGCTCTGAGCTGCCTTGTTTCGTTTGTGGGTTTTCTCAGTTTCTTTGGTTTCTGAACGAGGAGGCCGAGCCGTTCTATAAGTTTAGGTGACTCAATCTCTTCCTGCATTTATTTGAGAAAGTGAATGTGGCAAAAGGCAGACTGTTCTGTAAGTTCAGGTGGTCTAGCCCAATGCTACGCACATGATGGCTTAGAGAGAAAGGAACCAGGTGGAGAGGTAGACCCTTCTGTAAGTTCAGGGAGTTTGACTCAAAGCCTCGCACATGCTGGAAYCCGAAGGTTATAATTTGGCTATACGTTATTACTATTCTATTAAGAATAGCCTAGTCGGACACGGGTTCCATAAGATTGGATGATCTGACTATAGCTTATCGTAAATTGAAGAGAGTACAATTAGGAATATAATGGAAGATAACTTGGGCCAGCTGAGCATTGTTTCTAAGATGAATGGCTCAGTCTTACGCCCGCTTTGAAAATTAAGCTCATAAAGGTATATATAACTTGGCTATTTAAATAGTTTAGGGCGACTAGAGTGGTCTAGTCATATGCCCAAGGAAGAGAAAAGTAGTTGTGCCCTCTGTTTGTGTATACTTGGCTAAAGTCAGAACGCTCTATAAGTTTAGGTATTATGACTTTAGGTCTGGCTAAGTAGGATGCGCTCTGTAAGTTCAGGTGGCCTGACCTATGCCTTATGTAAGCTGGGTATAAAGGGTTAAAGCATTGAGGGGCTACGAACTATTGTTTGCTAGGTTGACTTGGGAATGGTGAGAATACTTACCTTTGTGGTTTGACCTGCATGCGACTGAGTGAGGCTACTACTTGGTCTGAGTTTTAGGTTGATAGGTAGTTGCTTTAGTCGCTCACCACGAGCTAGAGCGATATGAATTAGTTCAATTTCTTCATTTTTTGAACTAAGTTTTTTACTTAGATCGATTCTCGCATTTTTTTAGATCTTTTGTTATACTTGACTTTGTATAAATTTTGGTAAGCTACTTTCTCTACGGGAAGCGCTTCCGAAATTTTTGCAAATCCAAGGAGTTAGTCAAACTTTGACTTGTCAAAGTTCAA